TTTCGTTTCGTTTCGTTTCGCAAAATAGTATAAGCCCTTCATAAATTCCCTTTAACTGCCACACGGAGTATGCAACAGCAGTCTAATGATAAACTAACAGAAAATTTTCAAACGCATAACATTGTGATTACTTCTTGTCGAAGAAAGACAGGCAGAGTCGCGAGAAAAAGAGAGAGGGAGTAAGAGGGTCTGGGTAGGTGGAAACGCCATGCCTTGTATGGCAAGGAATATCTTAGTCACATGACCGATAGTAAGAGACATCTAAGTCACATGACTGAGCGTGATACATGATATCCTAACTCGAACCCAGACCCCCGTTAGATGTGTGAGAACCTCGTTTCTTGCATCATGTGCAAGCTCAGATGACAAGAAAAATATAGCATTACGGAAGTGTTATTATCCAGAGTTGTCACATCGTAACTAGATGCTGTTTGTTGCAGATGGGACAGATCTTCCTTCCGATGAAGAACATGAAAGAGGTTTGATAAAGACTAATTTAATTTACCGAGTCAGTTGTACATCAGACCCTCCAGAACTGGTACTTCGTGATGACCTGTCAGGACGTGTCCTCAGTGCAGATTTGATGGATAATTCGCAGGTATGTTGTGATACGAGATCAGTTTCTTGTCAACTGACTCTATATTAGATATCGAGCTTATCGAGAATTCATTAATTCTATATCTGTGAATGAAACCCCAGGGAGTAACCATTCAAATGAAAGCTACAGCCCACTCGCAAATTTTCAGGGGAAACATAAGAAAAAAATGCTGACTCGCAAAATTAGTGAAGGAAAATTTAAACGTTCATAGAAATCTGTACAATAAACACAAGTTGGTTAAAGGAAAACTCGAGACTTTCGAGCACAACGCTTATCCCTGTACGGGTATCCTGTTTTGATTTACCATTCTTTTCTGAGTTTTACCAAAAAAAAGTTACAAGTTTTTAAACATCGTGACGCACTGGCTTGTATGGTTGTTTGTGACTGGTGTGAGACAACTTGGTTGTGACATTCTTAGAGCGCAGACGCTTGACCACTTTGTTGCTTTTTGTACTGTGTGAGGTGTTTTTAATTTTTAAAACTTTGGATGGTTTTCCTTGTTTTGCTTGTTGGAGTATAATTTTTCAGATGACGTAGATCAGGTGCCCTTTTGGTTTACTGTGACAGACGCCCGATCTCAAGGTCCGGTTTTGTGTTGTGTTCTTAGACAACACTCTGCTTCGCAGATCTTCAGATAAACAGCTGTAGATTATTGATTTCTAACGGATACAAAGTTGTACCTTCTAATCACCAACAACTAGAAACTAATTCCTGCTGTTGCCCATGCAGGCTTACGTGGTTGACTTTGGCTCAGAAGTGTACCTGTGGCTCGGTAGAAACTGTGACGCTCTGGCACGAGCAAAGGGTGTGTCCCTGGCACAAGAGATTTTTAATAAACCATTCAAGTTGAGGAGTAGCCTCAGTCCGTTAGACCCTAAAACGCTTTTGGATGACCCGCCGGCGACGACTGAAGTCGCCCGCCCACCCTGGGCTCTGTTTGGGCGCATGACAGCCCGCTCAGAGACAGTTCTTTTTAGGGAAAAGTTCATTGATTGGCCCGATCATAATGTCGATTACACACAGGATTTTGTTAAACAGCCCATAAGTGGAAGCTTCGCTGATATGTCTGAGGTATGTTGGTAATCAAATCTTAGTTCATTCGGTTTTTTGTAAGCGACATGGCACTAATTTTCGTTAATTAGATTTAGGTATTGTGCGCTTTGGAGTGTGGCAAAAAAGTCCGAACGGTAATGGGAAAGGGAAAAAGTAAATATTCGTAAAAGTCTGATAAAGTCGTCTTTCTTAAGATGCAGACAGCCAGGATTAGGTGTAAGTTTAAAATTGTGAATGAAAATAGTATTGCACTTCGATTTGTGGGTTTGAAGTAAAAAATTACTTGTCTGTGTCTCATTGTCATGTGTAGCGGATCTCATCTATTTCCACTGTATGCCTTCGAATGTTGAGGGTCAATTCTTAGAACCTTCTCTTGTTACACTTCTTACTAATATATTCTATATGTAATAACGAACTGCCGTTTAGTAATATTGTATTAGAACTCTGTTCCTAACAATAGAAATGTAAACAAAGGTATTAATCTAAAGATAATTAATGGCTAATTTATGTTTAGCAAAGGTATAACGATATACCTTTTCTAAGCTTCTCCTATTTTAGTTAACTTTTTCTTAACCTCGAAATATTTTGTTCTAAGCAGCGCTTGTAGATATTGCTTGAGTAGTACACTGGGCCACTATGGTATACAGCCAATAAGAGAAGAGTGTTTTGTACCTTGTAATACAAATGAACCAATCATATGGCCGGATTGACATCCAAGATGGCGATTTGATACTGCGCAATCTTGGATACCAATCCGGCCAAGTAATTGGTTCAATTGTACCACGTGGTAGAAAATACTCTTCTCTGATTGGCTTTGTACCAAAGTGACCCTGCATACTATTTGCTTGCCCTATAGCCGGGTAACAAATTTCGCGAATTTTCTCAGTCTTCGCATTTTAATATTCTACTATCTCGCGAATGAGTTCAATCTAACTGTCGCTGGCGCTGATGTACAGAGCTTCTGACTATGGTAAATACCTAGCTGTTGTTTACTAATGTGTATTTAACTTTTTCAAACGTAATCTTTCTGATCTTTCAACTAACCCTCTTCACTAATGCAAGCAGAAGGCTTCTTCTGATCACGAAGGGAGCTGGGATGTAAGAAAACGTGGCAGAAAGGTATGGGGTGGATGTTAGATGTGCTTTTATCAAGAGTCAAGGAAAACTGGTTTTGGCCACACACATGCAATCGAAGATCGCAGTCACATAGTATAACTGCACAGCAAACTAAGACGTTTCCCATATAAAACATTGATCAATTTTTTTTTTTACCAAATTCCAAAATAACTGTGAGTAGTTGCAATTCAGACTTGCTCCACACAGCATACCCAAGATAAGAGTTTCACAGCTTACTGAACATAAAGGTTTATGCAGGGTACCCAAGATGCCCGTCGACACAGGCCAATGATTCTTTACATACCAACCGCTCAAACCATTAACTATATCTATTACTGGTCAATTTAGCGGACCTTATTTCACTTCTTGGCCTGCTAAATCCAAAATTTTCTTTGAATTGAAGTATTCTCTTCGATAAATCCGAGCAGAAAAAAAGACGTTCTGTAACTTACAGTACGGAGTTCGAAGTCGGTTAGTAAGAGGTAATGATCACAATTTTTCGGTGGCTTACACAGCACATCGAACCTGGCCTTGAGATGTACTTTATTTTGTTGAAGTTTTTTTACATACGATGACACGTGCAATTTTCAGAAGCGACCCAGCAGCATATTTGAGATGCAGCCCTGTGAACCTGCAGACTTGATCGAGCTTCCTCCTGAACCAAGCATGATTCTAGAAGGTTTGTTGTTTAGCCTTTCAAACGTTTATATCAGCAAATTGAGGTGGGTGGCCTGTGCTGTAAAGTATGCGTTCAGCATACTGCTAGGAGTAGCAAAT